CCCACCCCCCCAACCGCACGGTCCTACATCAAAGCTAGGCGGTCTCGCAGTGCATCCCTCAACAATTCCCCTTCCACTTCTGTGCACCGTCCCCGCCCGCATGCGCCGTTCCCCACAATGCCCAAGTCCACTCTACGCCGAACGTCGTTCGCATCCACCTCCCACAGAAGGTTCTCGTCGAAGTCGATCCCCGCGTCCAGGAGGATATTGTGGAGAGTGCAGACAGCCACGAATTGCTGTGGCAAGGTCTCCAGGTTCGTCTTATGGGTGCGCAAGAACAGACGCCACATGCACTTGAGTCGGCCGAATGCCCTCTCCACCTATGTAACCGTTTGAACAGGCTAACTGCACGTGCACGTTCAAATGCGCGCGTTCATACCCCTCAGGGCCGCGTCCAATCGCGTTCAAACGCGCTGCGCGCCACGTGGCATGAAAAAATTGAACGCGGCCCCGGGGGCCGCGCGCGCGCATCGCAGACTACAAGGTGGTGGGCCTCGTTCTAAGAACCCCAAAAGTGCAAAAAAAAAAAACAAACAAGCACGGGCCCCCTACGGCGTCACCCCCCACCATATGTGAGAAGTCCTTTTTTTTGGGGGGGAGGGTGGAAAAATCCCCCGAACACTGCTCAGACGGCCCATGCAGGCTATCAAGGGTCTGCGCAGCACTAGAGTGCAGACCCTCCATCAAAATCGAGGCAGGCAGTGACTATGAAGTGGAGCACGAGCTGGCCGAATATATCCTCAGGATTCAAGTACAGGTCTGTGTCTCAGCAGTTATGGGTTGCTCACCTAGATAGGAGCACGTGATTCTCGGCTATGTGCCCGAAATCGGATTCAACTGGTGTTTTGAGTTGAACGGTTCAACTCCCATTCAACTCCCGTTTCAACTCCCCATTGAACCGAGTTGAACGTGGTACAACTCGGCCCGCGGATGTTTTTTTTGCAGGCAAAACATAGGTGAAAAAAAAAATAAAAAATATGGGGGTGTAGATGTTTTTGCTCTCTACATCCCCATATTTTTATGTTTATTTTTTTAGCATTCAAATTATTTTTAAAAAATCAAAAACAAAACCAGACTCAAAACAGATAGATTTTTTTTCCTTTCTTGTTTTGATTGAATGATTGATTGATTGGTGGGGGATGGGTCGCCATGATTGTATGTGTGTGTGTGTGTGTGTGTGTGTGTGTGATTGGGTGGGGGCTGGGGGGGCGACCCATCCCCCACCAGTCAATCAATCAATCAATCAATCAATCAAAAAAAAAAAA